TCTCTCTCTCTCTCTTTCTCTAGAGAGAAAGAGAGAGAAAGATCCACAGCAATAACTAATAATATATTTAAAATTAACAGATCGGAAAAAAAAAATTTTAAACAGAACATAAATTTCTATTAATACGAGAGAGAGAGAGAGAGGTGGGAACATTTGAATTTGTCAGAATAGAATTCCAACATGTGATTTTAATGATCTTTTGGCCTAAATCGATTTAGCCACTGATTAATCATATTGTATGCAAATGTAATTTTTGATTAAATGATTTTACATAACATTGTAATTTTTCTGCATAAAATTATTTATCAATGGATGAACTTAAAAACTCGCCTGTACTTGAACAAAGAAGTAGAACAAAATAATCATCGATCGGTAGAAGTTTTTTAATGAAAGTTGTTTTGTTGATGCATGATTAGATATATAGATAAGAAAATATCGAGAGTCATGATTTTAGTAGCGTTCTCGTATATATTGACAGTGCTGAAAATTTATACTATATAACATTTATTATAGATAAATGTTCAGTACTGACAGTATATGTTAAACAAAGTTTTATTGGTATCAAATGGCATTTATTGTAAAAAAATTTTTTTAGAAACAATAAATCGCTCAAATTAGGAGGGGACGTTATTAGAAATAAATTTCATAAGTGTTGATTTTTTCAAATAATATGTAAATTTTTTTTATTCTCTGCATTTTGATTTACGAAAAAATGATACAAAAATTTAGATTTAACACTGATATGACTTTTTTAAGAGACTTCCAAGGTCAAATAAAAATCGCTATTTTACATTTATAAATTATTATTTACATATCTTTAGAAACCAAACAATCTTCGTCCGATTTTTGAAGGAAATATACATTATTTTTATCTCTCCGAAGTATTTAAATATTACTTTACAAATATATCTTTAGAAATCATTATTTACATATTTTTAAAAATAATTTTTGTCCAACATGTTTTTGAAGGAAATGCGTTATTTATCTCTCTGAATTATTTTATCCCTTTATTAAAACACTGCATGAGCTATAGTTAGTATTGAGCAGTTACTTTTTGCATAAAAAATTATTTTTTGGTATCTTGAATCAAAATCCAAAGAATAAGAAAATTCGGCGTGTGATACTTAAAAAAAATTACTTGTCATGTGATATATTTTGTTAAACTATGTAGCTACATGTGATAAATAATATTTACATAATATACTAACATTATACTAACATAATATTATACTTACATAGCGTCTCCAGACAATATGGACAATATATAAACCATCTTTGCACACATTTGCTGAATATAAACTTATATTAAATGTAATTATACACATCATGTATTTATATGTATGATATTCGCTAAGGTTGGCGAATTTTGATCATATTATTAGAAGGCGCCATAATACTAACGACTTTGATTTTATACTCTATTTTTATATTCTATATAAGATAATAAACCAAAATAACAAAATTGATAATATTTTAATGAAATTAATATTTCTTAACTTTTTAAATAAAACATGATGTGCATATATGTATATGAAGTAATACAGAATTAACAAATATAAATAATTTTAGGGTAAAATCAATACAATTAATTATATCAAAATATATAACAAAATTGATAATGTATTTTCTTATGAAATTTACAGATGGCATTTGGCAAGAACACAAATGTGGAAGACCATTGGGATTAAAGTTTGATAAGAAAGGCAATTTATATGTAGTGGACAGTTATTACGGAATTTTTCAAGTAAACGTTGCAACCGGAGAGTATAAAAATATAGTGAACATTACTAAACCAATTGATGGAAAAGTCCCACGGATACCAAATAGCATAGATATTGCAAAAAATGGAGACATTTACTGGACTGACAGTAATACAGATTTTGCACTTTATGATTTAGTAATGACATTTCTAACGAATCCATCGGGAAGGTAATAAAAAAAGATACAAATTCTAAAATTAGTTCTATACTCTAAATATATGCCCATATTATATATATTTATATACATAAGTTAATTGTATTAATTACAGGCTTATACGTTATAATGCAGCTAAGAAGGAAAACGAAATATTGATACGAAATATTGCATTCGCAAATGGTGTTATATTAAGTGATGACGAAAGTTTCGTACTTGCGACAGAAACAGGAAAGAATCGTATTATGAAATATAATTTGAGAGGATCAAAGGCAGGACAGCACGAGATTTTTATTGATGGATTACCGGGTATGCCGGACAATATTCACAGCGATGGTCATGGTGGTTTCCTTCTTTGTTTGATCGTTGCTGATGACCCTGATCATCCTCAGATTTTTCAATCTCTCGCACCACATCCCTATTTGAGAAAAATGTTGGTACGGTTGGCAATGACGATGGAATTGCCATTTAAACTATTAAATGACGTGTATCCTAATCCCTGTACTGAGAGAATTTTACATGCAATCGGATCATATCAAGGCATAGACTTTTTAAGTAATCCAAAGGAGAAAAGTTTAGTGTTAAGAATAGATGCATCTGGTAATATTATTGACATCCTTACTGCAGACGATGGTTCAGCTCGTCGTATAAGTTCAGCTTATATACACAATGGCTTTTTGTGGTTGGGCTCTCCGTTTCAAAACTGTGTAGGCAGAGTCCCGTTGAAACAAGCTTTCCCTGATTTAGCTGATAGTGCAAAACAATCTTCTCATATAAGGAGTGAAAAGCAATCGCCGAACGTCGCTGCTCCTAATGTAAAGACAGAAAGAGTAAAACGAGACGCGGATTCTACGACAGTAAAACCGATCGAGTTGAACAGAGCTTCCCAGACAACGCCTAAACCAACTGCTGCTCCCACAACCACCACACCTAAGCCAAAAACCACTGCTACGTCAAAACCATCTCCAATTCCTAAAACGGATAAATCTACAGCTACAGCTAGCAATGTGAAACCATCGGAAACTAAATCATCTACGAATGCCGAAGCAAAAAAGGACAATGCAAAAACAGTTGATGCGAAATTGAATTCCCCAAAGTCCGAAAAGAGCAATAAAAAAGAGGATGCAAAGACACAATCCGAAAAGAAAGTAAAAGTAGAGCAGAATGCTTCTGTAAAACAAACAGAGCAAAAATCACAATCCGAAAAAGTTAAACAGGAAACAAACCGTCCGAAAGACGACCTGTAATTAAAAAAATTAATAAACTATAATATATTTGTGATACCACCAACACTTGTTGAACGGTACACTTCATATTTTTCAGACATTCCATTAAAAGGGAAAAACAGATTTATAGATTAACGATTTCTCATCTCTTTGCTTATGCGTTTATATCATCCACGTTGTTATATTCGAATATATGTGTTATGCGTATGCGAATATACGTATACAAGTTACGTATATACGAATTATATGATCTATTACAGGTGCTGATTGCAAAAAGTTTTACAAAAAATAAGTTGATCAAAATAATAAAGATCATTGGAATTTGTAGGAACTTAAAATTAAGAGAAAATCTTTGAAAGATAATTGATTTAATTTTTAAGTTTAATTTTTTTAATTAATTTCCTTTAAAAATTTTTCACATTTTGATTTTGATTTTTTTATAAATTACATTCCTAGCTATACTTTTGATGATGGATAACTTGTATATTCCATAGATAAGAATGCGAAAAATATATTAGAGAAATCTATCTCAGTTTTATTACAGTGACTAAAAATGAGGATAAAAATTTAGAGAAAGTTATATGTTGGCGACTGTAATGTATATATGAAGTTGAAAGAATTTTTGCAAATTTTATTATACGTTTTCCATTCATATAGTATATGTACTAATTTTTATACTTTATAATAAACTCCTAATTATACCTAAAAATCGATATGATATGAAAGGAATTTGGTACTTTTTTTAATCAAAAAAAAGGAATTTGGTACTTTTTTAAATCAAAAAAGCAATCTTAATTATTACTTTAGACTGAATATCTATCGCTTTATCTTAGCTTGTTTAAATATACAAGATGTATATTAAAATACAGGGCATCTATCATGGAACAATTCGGAATGAATTCCGATCGGAATTATTCACTTATTTCCTAGATTTCTGTTGTGTTTTCTAGGAAAAACGGAATAATTTTGATCGGAATTCATTCCGACATGTTCTATGATATGTACTCTAAAGTAATTATCTGGCAGCACAAATATTTTTTTAAAGGAAACAAGCGGCTATATCCCGTCAAAATATTTAAATTATTTTGTATTTATGTTTGTGAAATAATTTTCCGTAAGTCTATTTATATCTTTTTTATTTATAATACGAATAATATTCATATAATTGTAACTATATCATAACGTCATGGACATTAAAATGTTACGCAAGTTTTAACAAGTAAGAAAAAACATACTAAAACAAGTGGTATAGATAAAGGACTGACATAAGTGTTTTTGTTAAGTTGATCGACGATTATAAATAATAACTTTGTTATATGGTGTTAGGTTCGAGATGTAAGATAATTATAAGAATTGTACAGTTTGGCAACTACAAAAATAAAATCGTCTTTTTCGATATTATCACTTTTGCAAATATCTAAGACTTTCCAAAAACGCTTCACCTATTTACTTCCACATACTCAAAATATCTAAGAAAAAGATTCAACATTAGTTTTATATTTCCGAATGTCACTTTTTTTTTATTAAATCGGACATTCACTCTAGAGTTGTTACTTTTAACAATTTCGAAGCTTCAAAAAAATTCGAATCTTCGAAGTTAACTTCGAACTGTAGAAGATAAAGATGCCTATGAAGATTCAAAACAATTCAAATGTCAAAGCCTTCGGCTGAAATAAATCACTAACCCTCAGTTCACACGGCTGTTGTTTAGAAGAAAACACACGAAATTGTGAAAATAAATTTTATTAAATTTTTATTTAAAAATCTTAAGTACATAATACATGCATTCTCTCTCTTGTACAAACTATTAAAAAATATATCACTCAGGAAGTTTATTGTCAAAGTCGAACATTCACAGATCAAGTCGTTTTACTACAATCGTAGGCAACAATGATTTCATTTTATCAATCATGAACATTTGTATCTTCCATAAAACAGTTGGCTGTTTGACAAAATGCCAATATCCATTTCTCCTACGTACTGCCCACTTTTGCGCGTTTGTTAAAGACTTTTTATACGCTAGAACTTGCTTATCCTTTAGCTTTATCCAAGGTTCGTGTACTGTAGCTAGACCTAATTTGACTAGTTCCTCGCCAATCTCTAACGAGTCCTACTTGTAAAAATGATGCATGAACACAGTATAAATATTCAATGTTGGGTGCTTTCCAATAAGAGATAAATAACACAGTATAACACAAATAAATTGTTACATCTTTAAAAAATTAAAACGTAAAATTGAGGGCTAATGAGATCATGGCAATTGGAGCGTTAATTAATAAAATATTTTTACTCAATTTATTTGATTGAATGTTTCGAATCTTATCTATTTTCATCTTGTTGCCAATGTTAAACAAAGATGAAATGATCACTGTTATGTTATGTCTCTTACTGGAAAGAACTAGATATGAATATTATCTGTTTTTCTTACTTGATCCTTCTGTGGCATCGCAACCACGCACTCCAAATACTCCTTTTCTTTAACTACAGGCACAAACGTGATGAATTTTTCATTGAGCACGGTTTGCAACCAACTTACACCTACAAGATTGATCCACGATTTAAAAATAGTTATGGATTTCGTAATCAACTCAATACCTACCGTTGCCTGTAATGTTAACGCCACCGATTTTGACAGGCAAGTAAGTCTTGCTGTTTAAATGGAGAAAAGGCAGTAAAGGTCGATGATCGACCATTAGCAAAACCCTGGTAGAGCTTGGTTCCACGTGCCGTACAGTACCCTGAAGCGGGACTCGTGATTGCAGGAAATGCAATGGGACGTCAGACGGTTTCGTGAATTTGGCGAACTGGAAAGCAACGAGAGAGAATCAATTGTGAGATTCGTGGAGGCAGATGATTAGATGGACTCACAGGTCTAATTTTGTACAGGGCTGCGAACAGGCCGGCACTGGCAATTCCGTAAGTAATAAGCTGAAAAAAAGAAAGATAGCAAGTACAAAATGTAAATCAACACTAAATATAAAACAGTTAAATTATATCAATATTATAATTATTCACTCAACAATATAAATGTTATATAACACATGTTGTACCTACATAACAATTAGATTATAATGTAGAAAATTATAATTAATAACTCTTAATACGATTAGGTCATTTGTATATTTATTTTCTTTGAAAATCTAGGAGCATCACGTAATTATTTACATTTATATACAATTCTTTTAAACACACGACCTTATAAATATTTTCTAAAGGTATTCAAGTATATATAAGAATCACTTAATAATTTTTGTATATTTGTTAAAGTGATGAAAATTAACCCGAGATTATTAAGGATTAATATATACTTGATACTTGTAAAAAAAACACATACTGTACACAAGTAATAATTACTTGTTTCAAGTACTTAAAAAATTCATATATTTGCAAATCTATCACAAATTCATCACAAGCATTAAATTTATTTAAAATATATTCTAAATTCTAGTACGTTTGATGCTTCAGATTAAGATTAGTAAATTAAGATAAACTTTGATTTGCTTATTACATAAAGTCTTCTTCGATCAATTTTACATTAGTTTTCAAAAGAAAATTCTTGTTTAATAATTGTTTTGAGTACATAACAAATTTTTTTAAAATTCATAAAATATATATACATACGTACACACACACACATATATATATATATATATAAGCTAGTATACTTAAAATTATCAAGATATTCTATATTAAAAATAATCATTTCTTGAAAGGAAGAAAGTAAATTAAGTATTTTTTTAGTAAATGAATATTTTTCTATGTGTAATGTGTGTTATTGTTAATTTGTGTGTTCTATACTTCTGTGCGGAAAGCACGTGACAAAGGTTAGGAAAACGTCGTGTACCCTTCCTGGTCTCATCTCGTCCTCCATAAACATCTGCAATCGTTCGAAAATCGAAGGGGCATCCTTACGCGCCATGGTCCACGCGATCCTGAACAGACGTGCAAGGATGTTCGTTCGTACACGATCAGCTGACTCGTGATATGCACAGTGATCACGATCGTTTGACACTATTTGTTGTGTCCTACGATTCCTCTTCTCGCAATTTACGCTCGGTATCCTTTCGGCTATAGAAACATAATGCTTGTAACGTGCAATTTCACCATAATAATTTCCGTAATTTTTTCTAATACCTTTTCGGCTGTCTGTCGCTGACCTTGCGTAATTATTTTTAGTTGCTTTCCATTTACACTAATCTCATATAATTTCTTGTTTGTGATGTCATAACTCAGTTGAATGCACGTCTCTTTTCATTCTCACAAATGAGATACAATTGAATTTTTACCTACAGTTTGTACAAACTCGAGAGACTCATATTCTTTATTCCTTTACTGAGTCTTGTTAACTCACATTAAAAGTGAGGTTATAAACTGTGTTGTTATGTGATAACTTCGTTCAAAATAAGTAAGTAGTGACATCATAATCTGAATATAAAATAATCACATAACTTTAGACTCAGTATCACTTGTGAAAATGGAAAGCAATGATGTTCGATTATCAAATACGTTAAATTTCCCGGTCAATTTATGCGAGACCCGCACTTTTCACCCTATCGTCTAAAAACTATCACGAGACGTAAAATGCACTCTGAAAGCCATTGAGATGTACCCAGGTCATCAGGTACACCGTCGCATCCGGCATTCCGGCACTGAAGTATCGGATAGAAAGGAAGAAAAAAAGTATAATGCGCTCTTTGTTTTCTGTTTTTTGCTTTTTGCCTTTTGTTTCTTCCCCCTTTGCAATCATTTTATCGACGATTGTATTTCTTGCTACGTGTTTCCCGTTTCTTCCGAAGTTCGTTAACTTTTAACTCGGGCGACATAAAACAAAAAACCGAATAAGAAACAAAAAGACAAGATGTAAAAAATAGCCAAAAGCAAGAAACAGAAAACAAAAAGCACATTGTAGAATAACCATAAGAAAAAGAAAAAAAAACAAAAAAGCACAGTTGAGATGAATTGAAGGAATTCAGAAGGAATTACAAATTGTTGCGGCGATTACATAATTGTTCACTAAATTGATGAAATTTTTCTCTCGAATGTGAATGATGTAATCAGTTTATCGGAAATCCGTACAGGACACTTTTAAAAAGAAGAATCATTAGTTTAAGCTTAAATTGTTTTATTCTTTAAATTGAACAATTTTATTATATATTGTAATTGCAATTATAATATGCTAACGACGGATTTCTTCCTAAAAATTGCTTTTACAAAAAGACGTACTTAATATTAAGGATGCATCGGATCGTAAAATTACCGGATATCGGATATCCGGTCTCCGATCGGAGAATCGGTAATGTTAATTCTTCCACAAATTAAAAAGTCATACTTAATTTTAACACGATATATATATGTTTTTGAATTGATATTCTTTTTACACTTCTGATATGTTAAAACTATCATTATCAGTTCAGTAAACGTTTTATTAATAATTTTTATATTTTTTACTTATAATGATATATCTCAAGCTTGTAATCTTTGCCGGATAATATTATTTTCGCGAAACGATTAACGAGTGATTGTTAACGTATATATTCTTTCACTTTCTCTCTCGATTATTTGAGTTTTCTGGTATGATCTTCTGACTCGATCATAACCGTCTCGCCATGATAAACATCGAGATTATAAACTTTATGAACAAGATACTTCTTATATCGCAAATCATCAACAGAATCTATAAACGCAATTTACAACACGTTTTAAAAGTAATAATCATCGAATATTATTATCATGTAAATTCTCGGAAAATCTTGACATTGAAAATAATTTTTACTTTTCCGTAAATCGTGAGATTAATTATCGGCAGACGTCATCTCCTTTGCTTGCTGCCAACGCGCCGCTGCAGGGACACTTAATTAAAGCGATGTAAACGCCGTCCATGTTTAATTAGATACAATTGCCATATTACGTATAATGAGCGAGCGGAATAAACAATTGTCGCTTTTATGCCTCACGTGTCGTCCTTATCATGTCGCGTTTGTAAATATACGAAAAAAAGAAAAGTATTACACTGATAAATTTTCCGCGGCTCTCGTAACTATAATAAAATTTATGTAAAATAAGAACGGAGATAGTACAAGCGTGGAGTTTTTTTTACGATAGTGCAAGAATAGATTACGGATAAGATATCCGAATGAGGCTAACAATAAGACGCGTGACGTTCGTTCGCTTGAGATATTTTATTCTATTAGCACAAAAAGGCACACAAAAAAAAACGAAAGTTCTTGATAATCGAAACAGTTTGCTTAATGCACTCTATCTCCGCATCAAATTAGCTTTACGAAATGTCACGATAAAGTATTAATCTCGTCATCTACATTTATTTATAGAGAAGGTTGCGACTTTTTCACAATAAAATGCACAGTGCGCTTATCTTGATATTAGTTTTTAACGACTTTAAGCGGATTTTTCCAAGTAGACGTTTTTCAAATACATAATGAAATATTTCTGAATAGATACACGTGCATGTATGATGTATGCATTAATATTGACTGCAAGTTGATTATCTAGTAATAATTTTCTTTAATACAGCCGCTTCCTTATTCGGGAAACACTGACGATAGATTGAAATTAATTTTTTTTATCGATGACTGCAATATTTTTTATAATCATGTATTGTATAACAGTCCGGTTTTGATAATTGATGAATTAATTGGACATTGATTTCGAATGTATGTTCTATCACTAGGATTATATTAGCTGCAAAACGAATAATTGCAATTCTACATAGACGAGTTTGTATTTATAGAACATTAATGAACTATATTTTATGATTTTACGTAAATAAAATAGAGGAAAGGAAGATCTCGGGTGATATCGGCTATTTTAGATGTTTTTGAGGTTTTATTTTATTAGACGGCAAAAATCAAGTATATAATGTTATTTTTATATCGAAAAACCCTTTCAATCGTATTTTTCTAAAAATGATATAAAATAATATGTTTTTTAATATATATAAATATAAAAAATGAAAATATATAAAAATGAAAATATATAACCCACGATTTAAAGAATAATATATGTTGTTTATATTGATGAACTAAAAAAGTTTTTACAGTCGAAATTACACTTATATTTAATAATGTGACTGATTGATGAAGCTATCTTCATAAATACAACAAGCTGCACAACAAGTATGAGTGCAAGTATACAATAACTCGTAAATAACGTTGCCTCTGTCTCAATACAGAAAGGTTTCGGCTTTCATATGCAGATGGATTTGTCAGTAACTGAAATACTAGTGCACGTGTCTAAGTTAAACATTTTTTGTCCGATACCAATCGACCTTCTTTTAAGTTTCTGGTCAAGTAGATGACAGAACAAAACATGATCACGAGACGCACGTTTATAAAATAAAGAGAAGAAATGATTATTTTTATCGTGAAAATGAAGCTTGAATGGTTTATGAATATTTTTGAATCTTTCTACTTGACGAAATTGTATTATTTGAAAAGAAAAACTTTAGAATATGTGGTCTTTTCCACGCTGGAAGATTTTCATAGCACGAAGCTTTAGAGAATGGAATAAAACGATTTATGTAAGAAATTCGAAGCAGAAAATGATTTTGTAATGACAATTTCATTAATTATGACCAGCTTGATTATAATCGACACAGATACAATCGGTTTACAAGAGGTTTCTGTGAAAACATCGTACGAGGAGTAGAGTCGGATGCACAAAGATGAGGAAGCGGACACTCAAGTTAAGCTTACGAAGCTCACCTCTGATTGTTAACGTGCTCAGCTGCCTGTCGTAAATCAGGTCGGACAATGACATCATCTCTCTCGTTTCCTGATTCTTCGATGTACGAGTCTCCTTCTCGCCGATATAGATAGCTAAGTTGGGCGACGCCAAAGAAGCTATCGGCAATGTGAACTTCAGAATATTCTCCAAGAGAAGAATCACTTGTTTGGCGCAACACAAGTGACTAGGGTCAACGGATTAGTAGGCCACACTGGCGTTTGTCACGGAAGGAACTTCGTTTGCTTTCTGCAGTTCTTAAGAGAAGAAATTGAACGTCAAGCTCCACGATTGCTTGCTACTGATTGCTTCTATCGCTATTTCCTGCAAATAATTTTCTGCCAATGTACTTTTTCTTCTTCTTCTTTTAGGCTGCTGCAAACGTGAAAAGCATGAAAAGATTACCTTATTGGCTTCTTTTCACTCGACCTTCGTTTTTACTCAAAAACTGATGAAGAAAGCAGTTTTCTATTTGCCCAGACTGATCCAGATAGGATGCGCATGTTATCGAAATCATGAGAAAAATTCTCGATAGATGTCACGTGAACTTTTACAGAAAAGTCTACGTGTTTTGATTGCCGATACGATTGAACTCTAATAAGCGATTGGAGTGATCGCGTAATTGGAGCTCACGGTGTTGTGCTGCGAGCGAAACTGAACGTGACAGTAATCTGTCCTCCGGAGCTTATACCAACTATGCAGAGATGGTTGAGATAGTGCCAATCTTCTCCCACTTTTGCGTTTGAATGGACTCGTGCAGTGCGACCAAGCTGTGTTTTTTCTTCTTTTTTTCTTGCCTTTTTCCTCGCGTAGAACTTTTCGACTCCCTCGAGGAAATTGGCCAGATCGAAACAATGATTCACTGAATCATCGGATTTTTTTCTAGGTGCGCTGATACGCAAATAGGGATGCAATCGTGAAGGCTTTCGAGAAAGGGATGATACTAGAAAAGAAATATGCTATAAAAATTCTTTCCCATTAAACGAGAACAGATTAAAGTGGAAATTTCATTTATCCGAATGCATATTTTAGAAATGCAAGATGTTAGGCAAGCAAAAATATTGAAAATTCGTTTGTAAAGACCAATTGGTTAAATTGCCAAAATTTATTTGTATATTAACTGTATAATAAATCTTTCTATTCGCAAGTGGTCTGATGATGTTTCATTCATAATATGTTGTACAATATAAACGTGGGGATGAAAAGATACCTTATATCATCGGGTAGCTCTGTGCACACTGATTGTTATGTTAGACAAACATTAAGTGGTGTTTGCTACGGAGAAGAAGATAAAATGAAATATCAATTTTTTCAGTGGACATAATGTGGTGTATTAGAAGACAGTTAATATAAAGAATTATTTTACTTAAAAATTTCTATTGTACTTCTTCCAATTGTTTTATTTTATTTAAATTTACTTATTTTTATTTTATTTAAATTTTCTTTAAAAAATTCTATTATAAACTATTATTATAAAGATTAGAATAACCAATTTTATATAATATTCATATTTATAGTCAACAATACATTTACTAAACATTAATATTTTGAGAAAAAGTACTTATTAATGCAATTGCTTATCATTATTTTATTTTTTATTATATACTTTTATTAATTTACATTTACATTTATATTTAATTTACATTTAATTTACACTTTATCAATATTGTATTTGAATATTGCGCTCCTATTTAGGACCCAAATTTGATTGGCTAGCTGATTGCTCCGAATTGCCGTTACGCGCGTCGACTCGCCTGTCTTCTTCCACCATGGACGTCAGCTCGATAGCTCGTCGTCGGCTGTGGGAGACGTCCTTGATTACTACATCGCGCGGTCGAC